GTTGGTTTGTTTGTTTGTTTGTTTGTTTGTTTGTTTGTTTGTTGGTTTGTTTGTTTGTTGGTTGGTTTGTTTGTTTGTTTGTTTGTTTGTTTGTTTGTTTTTTGCTGAGAACCGGGCTCAGCGTCCCTCATGATAAAGATGGTGATGATGGTGCTGGCGGTGATAATGATGATGGACATCGGGTCCAGCGACCCACACTTCAGACTGTGTACTGTACAGAGGGAGCGGAAGGAGCCACTGGGGGCCACCAGTGTGACCTCCTGCCGTACCCTTGCCTATGTAGCGGTGGATTTGAGGCTGTCATCAAACCAAGGTTTCCGTCAGGGAGAGGGGGTGGGGGGGGAAGGGGTCCGGAAAGTCTGTGGGGGGGCGCAAAGGGAAAGAGGGTTCCACCTGGGTCCATTCCTTAAAAACTAATTTGTAGTCCCTCATATAATCCAAACCCCAGCGACCTTCTGCTTCATCCCCTCCCCATGTGACCTTCGCTACCCATGCCTCCCTCTCTCCTCCCAACCAGTCTGTGCAAAATGCTGTAATCCCCTTCCTGACGTCAGAGATTTGCGTGAACAGATCCAGTTGTGACTTCATGTCAGATCATCTTTGTGTGAGTGCTAACTGTACCTGTTGCTGGATTTCTTCCACTATTTCCGCCCCTTCTATTCTCACATTTTCCAAGGCCAAGACACAAAGAGCACCCACATCACCGCCCTCCTGCCCAGCCAGAACATATTTTCAACAAAAGCCGAATCTTCTCCTGCTAATGCCCAATGGCCCACCATGACCATGGCCAGGGAAGATCTGTTACCATCTTCCGCCAAATCCGGTCCCACCACCTCCACATGAATTGGGCTATTGGGCATTGCATAAAGATATGCTCTATAGTCTCCGCCCTCTTATGGGCAGGAAACATGTGCAGACACCGCTGGCACCATGGTAGTGCCAGGCCCCGCTGTTCCAGGTTAGTGCAGTCTATTAACCAGTCGTTTGTGGGCAGGCAGCGGTGTGCTATCTGCCACTGTGGGGAGAAGGGTTTTGCAGATTTAGATTTCTGGTCTTGGAACCAACGAATAGGCTTCAAGAGAGAGCGGTCCAAGTTGGTTGGCCCAGCGATCGATA